CTCGATCCTTGCGGACTGCTACAAACGCCAGAAATTACAACGAGTTACCTTTGCGATTACCTATCGATATCGGGGACCTACTTACGGAACCGCTAAAGAGATCCTAGCGAAGGACACATCTAAACGTTGGGTGAAAACACTTCTTGCTCGTTCATTCCCGCTGCTGTGGAAAAGAAAAGTGTTACAAGTGCTTTTATTGGAGAGTGCTCCAACGGAGTGGGGATGGAGGATGATTGAGGCAGATGTCCCTAGTGCAGGGAAGACATACGACGGCGACTTGCCTCGATTGCCTTCTCATCGACCGAAGTCAAGCAGGATGATCGAAAATATCAATAACGCCAAGTATCTCAGACGCTGCCTTGAAGGTAGGGCGTGGTGATGGATTTCAAGGACATTCAAATGAATAAAAAAAATCATAATCATAATCATATACTTAGTTGCATCACATAACACATATAATTGGAACTCATGGGGCCTTACTCGTTGGTGACCCGAAACATGCACCTAACACCAATTCTTCCTCTAAGAAGGTTTCCAGAAAATACATCGTCGATCGATGGCTGTGGTTATAGTGCATAAAGGATGGTAGAGAACTTTGGTGCGACAGATCGTCGTTATTTGTATGATGGAAGCTTCACCTCTTAAACGTGTAATTGCGGGTCGGTTGAAGAAATCGATAGTACATAACGTCCCGTCTTCTCGAAGTAGGATATATGTGGTGTCAAATTCATCCAGAGCGTAGCCCGCCACGTGAAAAATTTACAGGGATTACGAGGAATTCCTGCCTACGATGGGTTTTGTCGTTAATGCGAGTTTGATAACATCGATGAAACCAATACGAACCTTTCTCTCTCAACGATACTTTCGATGATCGTTCCTAGGACGACCACACTGTCGCCACAATCTTCTGAAGAATGATAAAAATCCCATGAAATGGCGCCGAAATCAACCTTGGAGTTCTGCCAACTGAGTTATATAAATGTGTTGTTGCTGTATCAGGTGTTCGATTGATGTACTAGTTGCAATCTTGATAATAACCCCGAACGGGGCGCCCTTTTGTGCGATATGTAACAATTTCTTTTCTTGCTTCAAGCATATTTTCAGTAACCACAACCCCAAGGAGCGTGACTTTGATCTGTTTGGGAAGTTCGGTTCGTCCCTTAGTCGTGATGTTCTGGGAATCAGGATGTGAAAGTGGACTTTGGGTGAACTTGGTCAGAAGCCATCGATCAGAGCAAGGGTTTTCTTTTTTCCAGCTACCTTGTAAGAGACATTAGTAGGTAATTCGCGGTGAGGAGCTTTTTCTTTCAACGTACGAAATCGATACACGAGTCCCATAGTTCGTGACAAAATACGCGATGCGTGTCATGCGGGGATGAGCGGGATGCATATGCGCGGTCAGTGTGGGTCCTGATATCCATGCACTTGAGCGGAGGTAAGGGGTGCTTTGCAATCACTGGGCCAAGCCAGTCGACTGAACTCTGGGATCCGAACAAGGCATCAATGATCCTTGTGTACCAACCCGTATTCACAGATGTGTTGGAACGCCTACTGAAGGAATGAAAGAGAATCGCGGTATGAAAGAAGTGGAACGTACGACGTAGGCTGCATTGAGTCTCACCAGACGCCCCTTGCCCCTGGCCGTACACTATATCCTTGCCAACTACTCATTATGTTGAGCCGACCGGTGTGGATGTGTAACTGCCTTTGGCGAATAACCGCGGCTCCCTACAGTGGGTCATAATGTGATGGAGGATCATTTGTGGGGCCAAAATACCCCGCCATGCAACGCCATGGTGAATCTACTCATTTAAAAGTACGATGAGAAAAGAGGACTCGAACGTAAGTTTGAATCTCATACCACCATTCCCCGGAACAGTCTTTCTTTTTTTTTTTTTTCGAACGATGGAAAACTAGAGTTGGGATATTTATCCCAGCGTGTATTCAAAACTTGACATGCCCTTATATACATGGTTTTGAGCAATATTTGAGAATAGAACGAAGTGGATGTTGTGGCCGGTTGTGGTGGTAACCATGGTTCATTTCTCGGCTAAACTTCAAGTTGAAACTTCCTCATTACCAACCACGATGTCAGCGATCATGGACTGCGGTTCCTCATTTTATCGACTTTTTTCGCTATTATAACTGCTTAGGGGTTCTAGCATCTCACACGTACGCCAAATCATGGTTGGTTTAATAATAATAGGTCACCTGTGATTCAATGGCTGACTGATCCCCGTTTCAGTTCAATATAAAGCAGCTTCGGCTGTACACATGGCATGCTTCGTTTATCAGCAAAACGTCTCTCAAAACTCGGACCCCTTCTCGCTGCCTCTTTACCATTTTCCACCATGGCACTCAACGGATGGCACCTTGGAGAACGTATTGTTCATAAAAAACTCTGGGCTGATGATCCGCGTGTATCACAGCAATTTCACTGGATAGATGGAGACCTACCAGACGAGCACGCAAAGTTTCACACGAGATGTTTGCCTTTCTTGCCTTTGACGACCTTGGATGCACAAGGCCGTCCTTGGGGGTCGATTTTGGCAGGGCGGGATGGCAAACCTGGCTTCATTCAGAACCCACGGTATTCGGTTTTGACTATGGAAGCCAAAGTCTGGCCTGGAGATCCGCTGTTGGAATCCTTGAAGGCAGTGGGCCCGGTTGGTGAGATGCTGGTGGCTGGTATAGGTGTTGAATATTCTACGAGGCGGAGGAACAAGTTTGCGGGGAAAATGACGAAATGGGGTCACGACAATGGTACTTACAACCTGAGTCTCATAGTAAACGAGACCATTGGGTGAGTTATCCATATTTTCGTGCACAGTTCGATTTTGACACCTGACTATAGGAATTGCCCCAAATACATCAACGTCCGAGATCTCATTCCTCATTCCACTTCTCCTTCTATCGACAGCCAACGACTGCAGCTTTTGCCCGGGGAACGTCTTCCGAAAAGCGTTATTGATTTCATCCATGAATGCGACACAGCCTTTGTTGGAACAACATACGAGGCTCCTGCAAGTGAAGCCGCTCTCTACCCTTCTCATGTCGGCATGAATCAACGCGGCGGACGCAAGGGTTTCATTCGAGTTATGCCTTCTAATGGACGAACTGTTGTTCTTCCTGACTATTCAGGTAGGTCACCATCACCCAATCCTTCAGAATGCCCCTTATAATCGTACTAGGCAACCGTATGATGACTTCTTTCGGAAATATTGAGGCCACTCCACTAGCATCTTTGACATTCGTCTCCTTCACTACTGGGGAAATTCTCTACATAACCGGCACAGCACAGAACCTTTATGACCGCGAGGCGCAAAAACTCATGCCATTTCAAGATAGGCTTACAACCATTCACGCTACTGGGTATACCTATGTGAAAGATGCCCTGCCCGTCCGTCAACGCCCAGAAACCACTGTCGAATATAGTCCATACTGCCCTCCTATTCACTATCTCGCGGAGGAAACACCCCAAGCCAAACTATTCGACGAATCCCATAAAACTACGGCCCTTCTTACCAACGTCACGTTCCATAGTCCCTCTATCGCTACCTTCACCTGGGAGGCCTCCTATCCAGTCTCCGTCATTCCAGGGCAAGCTGCCATTATGGGATTTGCCCCTCTTTTGGGTGGCAAGAAGTATCAACACATGGCACCTTTCGACCCCTCGTCCGTGAACGACGACCGGATCCGCACATGGACTATATCTCGCACCAGTTCCCCTACCTCTTTCTCCCTTACGATGCGTGAAAAGCCTGGCGGTACTGTTACAGGCGCTTTGTTCAGCATCGCGCGTAAACTTGGGGAAGTGAAGCCAGCAATCCTAGAGGATTCACGGCCGTTATCACTCTCCGTTGATCTTGTAGGCATAACCGGCGACTTTGTTTTGCCCAAGCCCAAACCAGCCACCCAGAGCTCCCAGCATGACATCCCCGATGACGAGCTGGGAGTCTTGGTACGACAGTTATCGCTGACCCCCGCACCGCGCAAAAAAGCCTTATGGGTGGCGGGTGGTATCGGAATCACTCCCTTCCTAGCTATGCTTCGAGGATTGGGGGATGCCACGGGCGATTGGGATATAAACTTAGTCGTGTCCACGCGCGAACCGGATGTCCTCATGCCTCTCATCTCCGCCGCGCTGCCACCTTCGAACTCCCACTCTCACGTCCGCGTTGACGTGTTTTCAAACAAGCCCATTCCTACCTTTGACGAGGGCGCCGATGGCACCACGCTGCAACGTCATACGGGCCGGGTCACGCCGTCGATATTTGCCGAGTTGGAGTGGGCAAAGGCCGCGCCGGAGGACAGAGAAGCCTTCGTGTGTGGCCCGGAACCATTCGAGAAGGTCGTGGTGGACGCGCTGTTGGGTTTGGGCGTCGAACAGGGGACAATCCATCGGGAAGGGTTTGCCTATTGAGGATAGATCCTTTGGTGTAGAATGTTCGAAGCAAATCTCTCTCAGGATGTGGGAATCTCTCCTGGAATGTGGCTCGGGGCGAGCCGCGGAGGCTGGGCAGTGGCTGACCATACGGGGCTGACATTATTGCGATGCGATAAGATCCAACTTTCGCCCCTAATCTCGTCCTTCTAATCACATCTATCATATCATGCCATAATCACTACACGATTCTGTCTATTTTAACCACGCGAGGAGTAACAATATCCAATACTGATTGTTGAGGACCTGGTGGAGCCCGTTTGTGGAGGCCGTTTCTTGATCTGCGTATACTCCTTAAGAATACGAGCGGAGCCAGTCTAGTGTAGTCAGCTGTACTGGCAATGTGGACACTGGCTCCATATTTGCATGGTTCATCAAACTTTTGTATTGTGATAGAAGCCTGGAGGTTGAAGGCATCGTTCCTGCGAATCGGAAATTCAAAGTTATTGAAATGCGAGAGAAATATTTTCTTTGAACTTCAGCCTCTGGGATCTGTAGGAACTTCGATCTACTTTGAAGGTCTGTCCAGAGCTATACCAATCCTTCTTACCGTATGTCCGGTATGGTGTAACGGCTAACATTGCCGCCTTTCACTAAATAAGCTGATCCGCGGCAGCTCGGGGTTCGATTCCCCGTACCGGAATTCCTTTTTCGATCTTTTGTTAGGAGAAAGGAAAGTTAGGAGTCACTTATAAAACGAATACACCTGAATCCTTACAAACGATACATGATTCCAATGGTTTACACTTTATGTCTGTTAATTCCCTAGTTCACGAACAAAAAAAGTTCGGGTACGGGGAATCGAACCCCGAGCTGCCGCGTTCCGAATATGAGAGGCGGCAATGTTAGCCGTTACACCATACCCGATATATCGAAAATTGACATCAATGCCCTCATGTAGTCATGACTAATCCCATCATATTGTTTTTGTAGTTTTTTTATTCAATGTGGTTATGTCAGTGCATAGTATACTGGTGCGTAGATGACTTTGCTCAAACTACCTTTCCTAATCTCCACAACATGGGGAATCAACTTTACCATGACCCCACCACAATCTCCTCCACCTCAAAAAGAACGAGTTCCACCAACTGGGCTTGAGTTGGTAGCACCATGGTTTCCCATTGTAGCGAAGGTTGGTGGCCATTACGTGGTTCAAGTTAAAAACATTTTCGGTTTGATTAAAAGGAGCTTACAATTTAAATCTGTAGGCATCATTCTGGGTGCTCGCTGTTTGCGAAGCTTCTATCATTCTAACGGACTGTATTGATCATCCGTTTTCCTCCGAAGTTCGACATCTCCTCACTGGGCATCCAAATTCATCCGGGAGGATTTATATCTCACCCCTCTTTCTGTCTGGTTGGTTCATGAACCTAGTTGGAACCTTGCTTCGCCGACACTGTTATCGCATGTTGGATTCTCTGTTTACGTTTGAGCTTAGCATACGGAAAAACCATCACCTCGTCACGACTGGGCCGTATTCCGTCGTGCGACATCCGAGTTACACTGGGGCTATACTCTCTGGTGTAGGTGTCGCCCTCTGCCATCTAAGCAGAGGTTCTTGGCTTTTGGAATGCTCTGGGATCCTTCCCGATTCATGGCTCATATTTTGGTCAATATTGGGATTCGGAGCTTTCGTTGTGACGATGGCATTGGGTTCAAGGATGAAAAAAGAGGACACTATACTCAAGGAGAGATTCGGAAACCAGTGGGTTCAATGGGCGACGAGAGTGCGGTACAAGTTATTCCCGGGTGTCATATAGACTAATACGAATAGATGCGATGCTAGATCAACGCCACGCTTCAGACCGTCACAGCTAGGTATGATATTAAGTCATTCAATCATGATCTTAACCAAAAGAAAGACAAGGAGTACGTATTTGAACCCCGGATCTGACCGTCTTTGCTTTCTTGAGATTGTACCAGAAGAGATGCGCCACCATACCTTCTTCTTGATGTGTCAACACGAAAATCGGGGGAACTGACTTCGGGTCTTTCCATTAATAAGGAACAACACGGGCAACATTTTGGTCGTTTACATCCTGTTTCCTCTACCAATACAAGGCACCACTTCCCAATTCTAGCGCCCCCTTCCCTCAGGTTCATGTATTTTTCCCAATGTTTCTCAGGCCTAAATGCCTAATCATCGCTTGCAGGCTGTAGCCGTCCAGGTACGTTCAAGCTAACACAACTCGGAGTTGAACCAAACCAGCCACTGGAGAAGTTGTCCTAATAGATCCCCGGCACCAGCTTGTATCGAACCTTTTGTGCCCATTCCAACCACTCCCCCCCAAATCGGGTCTCTAGTATCTTGTCCTCCCTTGGAACCCGTAATAACAAGCTAAAAACGACGGCAGCCGCGATGCTCAGCCAAATAGAAAGCATAACCTTCCCAGCTATAGTGTCCATCACGCCACACTCCCTCACCCACGAGCCAGATGCATGATTGCAGTAGTATCCAGCAATAGACAGTATCAATCCGGTATAGCTCGGGTGGCGAATAAATGCGTATGGCCCATCGACAACAAGCCTGTGATCCTTTTGGATACACAACTCGAATGTGAACAGTCGTCCAAGCGTACGGTAACACTTTAATCGAAGAAAGGTCCCGAACAACCCGATGACGTTACCGATGAGGAACAAAGGAGTAATTCGTAAAAGGTGAGGGGAAGCTCCATTGAATATAAATACTGTGAGGACGTATTCCGAATAGGGATTTGATGGGATTTTGCTCGCGAGGATTACTATGACTTCAATGGCTCCAACGAGCCAGTACATCGCCTAGGGACCATGAATGAACGAAACATAACACGAAAACGTGAGACCAACCCGAAGGGCCATGGACGGCCATGCGAGAGATTTGAGAAAATTTTCTCTCCAGTCGGGAATGATATGCTCGGACAAGGGCTGGGGAGGGTTTGGCGGCGTTGCGTTCATGCGCATGCTGATTGCGTCTATGACAAGGAGGGGAAGTTTGAGGAGAGACATTGATACAGAGAGGCGCGAAAGTTACTGGGTAGGCAGAACAGCGCCCCAGACGACTTATGTACCCCTTTCTTCTATGACAGGTTGATGACGGGAGCGATCATACCTCAGTCGACGCTAAATTGGAATCGTGCTGCATCAGAAGTAATGAATGAATATCGATTCTGGGAAGTCTCGAGGTCTTCGAAAAACAGACTTACACCGTGAGGCGAGAGCAGCATATGCTCTGCGGCGATTTATTCGCTCCGGTCAGATCTCAGATGGAAAGCATCTCCTGATTTCGTGGGTCTCTGGAAGCCTTAAACCCAAAATTGTCAGGACGAAGATCCCATGAACCTTCGATATAACCCCATGTCGAAAAGCGGAAGAAGAAAAAAAGGAAAATGGCACCCGTGAATTGTCCCTGACGGCACCCGACGTTTAATGAGCTGAGAGTATCGTGGCTGCATGCCGGCCATTTGAAGGAGAAAGTAAACTCAAAGGGGAGTTTCCCATGTGGCTCGAGTCCTGCAGGACAGTGGGTGGCGTCCTCATTTCTCGTTCCTTTCTCCAGGCCGTAACTCGTGGCTCAGAGCGTGACGCGACATCGCCAAGCGAGATTAGCTACGTTTGGAGAATTCTAAACTGCGAACAAGTTGGCTTTAGTGCTTGATTTGATTTCCAGTCAGGGCTGAAATGAAGGAACACAGTGGAGACTGCCAGCCGGAATTTTCCAGAAGGATTTTCTCCGCGCTGTAAAACGAGGTTCACAGGCGCCAATCCGCTCCACGCGACAGGGGCGGAAGGACGACACAGACGTTCCGCCATAGCCGGAGGCGCCGAGAATCGGTGAGAAAATGATCCTTGTTCCCAAATGCTGACATGTTCGAATATTCCAAACTTCACATATGTGAGGTGGCTCGCCCATCGCCCATACATCGGTGGGGTATTGTAGGTATTAGTGTGCAATACTGATGACGACTAGATTTACCGAGAAAAACCCTTCAATGCGTCCCGCTCTTCCCGGCAAGAAAACTCGCTTTCGCCCTGTTATGCTCAGGAGTCGCAAATAACGAGAAACGTTCATGAGAACTCACCAAACTAATATATGCTTAAAGAAACTGCTTGATCAGAATATTCCGACGCAATGTCGGCACGCGATGGACGGCGGGTTGGGTCCTGATCTTGCAAGGCGAAGATAAACCCTAAAGATGGCATAATCAGGCCGTCCATCAAGCCCCGGCGACTGTGAGATAAACCTGCTAGAGGCGTGATTCAGATGAGAGAACTTGCTCTATTGAATTCAGGTTCACGTGTCAGAACTATATGGATATAGTGTTCTCAATACGTCACGCGTATTTGTCGGTCTCCTGTAGAAACAGAATCTGTTCCAGAAAGTTTAGAATAGCATATAGATCGTAGAGACATTATAGCATTATATTGACGCCCTTCCCCGTGACTCGAAGGGTAGCAGAAGGGCAATAAACCCAGCCGCGATGAAAATTGCTCCGGCAATAAAGATCGGAACTGAACTGGTCAAGTCTGCATAAAGCGCAATGATCGGCGCCTGTTAGTCATTTTTTTAGTGATTGTCTAACCGGACATGGGGCTATACGGAATTTACCATGATCCCGAAAACACGATTCGCGGCTGCAACCATGGCGTTGCCTGTCCCTCTGTCCTTCGTGGGAAATAGTTCGGGTGTGATGGCGTACAAAACACCATACATAACATTACTTGTGAAGCTGTAGGCGCAATTCCACCCAAGAAGAGAATCGGACGTTCGGGCCGTTGTAGAGACCAAGATGAATACACCCGTAAGGGCTAGAGAGTGTTATTGGTTATTCACGATGTGGGCGTGACTTGAAATGAAATTAGACGGCACCAGTTGAGATCGCTAAAGTTCCCCGCCGCCCTAAGATCGGCAACTCAACGAGGTAGCCGGCAAGTAGGGCACCAGGAACGCCGATAACGCTCAAAATAACTTGCTGCTTAGGAAATCAGTTTGGGTAGATGAGGCATTATAACAAAGACCGACGTTACGGTAAGTGATATATAGCGAACCATCCCCGAAGTCAGTTCCCCTTGTGGCCAGACTAAGGGGAAAGAGGCACTTAGGGCGACGTTCTGTTTCGCGAATATGCTACAACTCACTAGTACGTAACAAAAGCGTTGTACCTCAATGGCACGGAGTATCATTTCAGATTGAGGAAGGAGAGAATGGAGGCGCTTACAGAGGAAAAGCAAGACCAATAAAAGCTACGTCGGGAAATCAGAGTCGGATCACGGATTAGTATAAAGACCTACCCCAGAGGACAACCAGGAGACTTGTGGAATAAGCCAACTTCTTTGTTGCAAACAACGACCTAAAATGATTACTATTGAATTTGGTCAACTGCCTTTGGACGGCGCCTGCAGCAGACGTATCTAGCGCGGGTCCGCCTCCGAGACTCCCGGCCACTTTGAGATGCTCCAGAGTGAGATTACTCGTCGTTCCGTTGTAGGCGGCGACCTTGTGAACGACTTCGACAGCTTGTTCGTCCCTGCCACGGCCCATCAAATATTTTGGACTTTCATATAATTTAAACAAGAAAAATCGAATGCCCCATAAGAGGAGCATCAGCCCACCCATAGTGAAGAGGAAGTATCTCCACCCTTGATTTTCGGATCGCGAGCAGTTAG